CGTACTACGTACATTCAAGTATATGTTTTCTTGATCCCTAAATAAATTTAAGATAAGGGGGTTTCTTAATCTAAACAAGGGTTGTTATGTAATAGGTAATGTTTTGGATGAGCAACTATTTTCAGCATCTAAAATTGGTCTTTCAATTTTAATAAGAGTCGTGATAAGCTAATAAGACCTTGGTTAGATAGAGTGACAATAAATCTAGTCAAGAGTACTAAAAACGGATGTGATTATCTGAAATAACCTTAAAATTTTATTATTTTTTTTTAAAAAAAAAAAAAGAATTGAACCATTTCGTTTTAGAAACGCCAAAATATAACTTAGGAATACCCAAAATAAGAAACATTTTATACATCGTGATCTATTTTTTAATCAAGTCTTATCTTTGTCAATCGTTCTAATTGATTAATAATATTCAAATGTTGGGTACACTAAAAATTAGATTGAGAATACCTAAAAGTGAAATTTATGTATGCTTTAGGGGTTGTAAGTTTATTTCAACGCAAGGTTATTAATCTGTTGCACACACAAGGACTAATAGACGAAATTGCTATAAGATTCTAATTACGTGTATGAATGGATAATTGTCTTTCGATTAAAGACAAAAGTTTCTTTATTAGCTTTTTATTTTGGGACTAACTAGTAGTCGTTTGAGACCGCCTACTTGTTTAGGGTAAATTAAAATACCCTAGACACGTGCATCAATAGTAATGTGATACGTGTCCCCTAGCCCAGCGCTCAAAGAGTCAATCAGGATATAACACGTGTCACTTGTTCAGATCATAGGGTAAAAAGGGTCTCAGGCCCTATTCCCGAGAAAGTTGTAAAAAGGATGCAACCAATCTACTTAGGTTTAAATAAAAGGGCACACACTCACAGTACATACACTATAAATACTGTTCAATATTAAAGTATAACTTATTATATCAATAAAAATCTTCTTTATTTTATCCATTACCTGTAATCTTTAAGCTTCCAAATATAGCTTATTATATCAATAAAAATCTTTGTTATTTTATTTATTTGGGGAAAAAAAATCTTCTTTATTTATTTGTTGCCAATAATACAAAGCAATATATATTTCAATTAAAATGCTCCAAAAAAATTCCAACTAAAATCTTCTAATTCCTGGTTCGTCATTCACATTAACTACGTAGTCAATCCACCATTTATTCACCATCATTTGACTCATCAATAATCTTACCTTTAAACCATAAACTCCATTCATGCCTGGTCTCCTCATACCATATTACTACTGTTTCATCTACTTGTATTAGATTTGTAATTGAAAATTTATTATTTATTTTGACATAGTGACTTCTTTTTTTTTATTAATAAAACAACTATATTGACTCTGATATTAGTGGTGTATAATAAATTAATGTAATTCAAGTCTATTTAAGAGTTTTTGCAAGTATTATTAACTAAAAAAATAAAATGGCAATGTCGACAAACAATACATTGTCTTTCTAAAACCTAAAATTTATATTACCAAGGTTAGGGTCTGTTTTACTAAAATGAAATTAAGTTTAATGATTCTATATTATATTTCCAATAACCCACAACACATGTATTATATACGTATTTGAATATATATGCAAAATTTGTTAAAAAAATAAAATAAAATTATGTGTATGAATATTTCAAAATCTAAATATGTATAAATACATGTTTTTAAATTTAAATGCAAATTTGGCAAACGTATAATATATTTATAAGGATAGGAGGATATATTATTTTAGGATATATTTTAGAGAATATCTTATTTTAGGATATATTTCAAATTGGGGTGGTGGCGCAGTTGGCTAGTGCGTAGGTCTCATAGCTTAGGATATATTTTGATGTTTTTGGGTTATTGGCTTAGTCTTAAAATCTTTGTTTCGGTAGCTTTATATATATATATATATATATATATATATATATATATATATATATATATATATATATATATATATATATATATATATGTGCTACAGTTTGTAAAATAAGAATCAACACTTGAATGCAAATTCTAGCAACATTGAAATAAATAAATATTCTTTGGCAAAGATAATAAGGATAGATTTAGTAAAAAAAAATCACCTTCATTTAAGGAAAACTAACCTTTTTTTTTAAAGATCAAGGAAAACTAATCATGCTATGTTCTCTCTTTTCCCCCCCCCCCCTCTTATTTGAGATAATTAAGGATATATTTTGTTAAAATATCCCCAAAATAATGGCCACTATATATTTTTTTTTTAAATTAAAGTAAATTTACCTAAAATTACATCCAATATAACGCCCTCTTTCAGTTTTTAATTTAATTTTTTTTTTCATCTTCAATCTACGCACATAGCTTCAATATTCAATAATGGTGGATGATTACTCACGAATTCGTATGACTAATTAAAATTAAAATACAAGATAAATCATACCACTTCTAACAATTAATCCTAAAATATAAAATAAAATCTTTAATCAAACGATCTTTTTCATATACATTATTATTAACAAAGGTTGAAGATGAAGTGCGACATTTAAGATGGTTGAAGCTATCAAGAATTCAAGATGGGGACGAATGCTAATACAATTTATATATATTATAATTTGGAATAAAAAAATTTACCCCCTAAAAGGAAGAAAAGAAACAAGACTTTGATGGCTGGTTGCTAACTGGTCATGACTTAAATGATGTGTAAATAGATATTTTTGATTTTTAAAAATGTAATATTCAAAGGCTAAGATTAAGCAACAAACATAATAAACGGCTCAGATTTAATCTCTTAGCGTAGTCGACCGTAGTCATCCGTAGTCGACCGTAGTCGACGACTATACTAGAAGCTTCGTTTGTCATTAGAAGTAGCAAACTGTTAGTTTTTTTCCTATATTTTTTAAGGTAACAGCTACTCAATTACAATTTCACCAAATACTTATATTTAGTTATTTATTTTCACTTAGATAGTAGCTTGTTGACAGCTAATTAACAATTACTCACACAGCTAATTACTATTACCATTACATGCGATAACAATTATCTCTACAACTACATTTTTCTAAAAAGTCCTTACACATGTTTGGCTATGAGCATTCGTAGTATGAGTGACCTTTTGACAATAATCATAATTTTCCATAAGCATTTGAGTAAAGATTGCAAACCCTACTTACATCATATTTTAACAAATATAAATCAAATACATAAAGCTATGTGTCATTCAAAATATTATAGTTATAAAATCGAAGGGAGTACTTAATAATGTGAACTAAACATAGCCTTATTAAACCTACACTATCAAAGGCCACAAGTCAAAAGATCATAATAATATCTAATTAACTTCACCAAACATAATATATGCCCGTTATTAATTAAGATCTAGAAAAAAAATACTGAGTATAAAAGAAAGAGAAGGTATTGGGTGCGTGCGACATGCTGACTGATATATTTTACTTGTTGGCTGATATGGTTTTTGAGTTGGCTAATGTATTCCTTTTGTTGGCTGATTTTTTTTTTTCTTTTTTTTTTATGTTTCTTTCGTTGGCTGCTCTCAGACATTAGTTGGCTGATATATTTCTTTGGTTGGCTGATATCTTTATTTAGTTGGCTGATATGTATACTTTAATTGTTGGCTTATATGTTTCATTGTGTTGGCTGATGTATTTATTTTATTGGCTTACTTGTTGCTTTTGTTTGCTGATTTCATCATTTTGTTGGCTGATATGCTTTATTTGTTGGCTGATATGTCCCTTCTATTGGCTGATATGCATCATTTGTTGGCTGATATGTTCCATTTGTAGGCTGATATGTTTCATTTGTTGGCCGATTTGTTCCTTGTGTTGACTGATACGTTTTTATTAACGTTTGATATGTCTCTAACAATGACTTATATCATACATCAATTGGCTGATATGTTACTTTTATTGGCTGATAGCGTAATTTGTTGTCTAATAAGATTAACAACAAAGAAAGTATATACTTGTACAAAGTATTTTTATTTCCTTCTCTCTCCTCTTTCCCCCTTTTCTTCTCTTTCCTCTCTCTTTGAGATGAGAATGGGAACAATCACGCCACCACCACAAATCGCAGCCCACCACCACAAATCGTAGTGCCACCACCACAAATTGCACCTCCCCTGCGACCTGCACCAGCGAATCGCGGCCGAAGTACACTTCTCCGGGGAAACACTACTCTCTGTTGATTGAAGAAGTGAAGATTGAAGAACCCTAACAATTCGATAAGTTCTGGATTCTTCATGGCCTTTGTTCAATCGATTAAGATGAGGTATGGTCTGATAATCTTGAATCTAAATTTTTGTTGATTCGATCTTTAATCGACAATTACTCCTTCGTTGTAATGGATACGGAGTTTCCCGACGTACTTTTCCGACAATTGCCACCTGCGACCTGCAATTGCGAACTCCACCTCTGCCGCTACCGCTCCCAATATCTCTTCGCCGCACGAACTATTAGGTGCGTCCTAGTTTGTGTAAAAGAAAACCATCAAACCTCTATACATATTTTCATCAATTAAATAACAAAGAATATACCAGTACGACTATATATTATATTTATAATATTATGACCAGATAAAAGTGGCGACCATTTGCCGCAAAATCCAATTGTTATATTTGTTCGTTGCCTTCTTCATAGCCAAGCACTTTCCACTATTATTTCAGTTGCATGCTTACTGCTGAGGTTTCTCATTTGTATCTGTTCATATATGCATCTGTTCATATAATGAACCAATACATATCCACTTTCTTTAATTATGTTATTATTATAATTGTATCATAATTTTTATATTATTATCTTTATAATAATATAATACGTCTTGCATTACCCTTTGACTACTTTGTATGGGTCATTATCTCCTTATCTCGAATCTAAAAATTACTATTTTATACAAGTAAACAATAAAGTTTCAAACAAAAAAAAAAAAAAGTTATAAATACAAGATACAAATCCTACATATTTTTCAAACCAACAAATATACAACAAATTTTCTTACATCATAATATTTGAATATGACTGTAATTATTCCCGATATTAGGCGACCATTACCAACAAATATGTTGTTATCTTTAACACAATGCAATTTTAGCGTGCAACAAGCTATAAACGCACCAATTGATGTTGTATGGTCTATAGTTCGTCAATTTCACAACCCAAAAGCTTACAAAATGTTCATAAGAACATCTTCATGTACCTCGTCGTCTAATGTCGTAGGATCGTTCCGTCACATAACCTTTGTAGCGGAGTTTCCAACGACATTGAGCATCGAGAGGCTCGATGAAATCAACGACGAGAAACATGTCATGGTGTTTAGTGTCGTTGGTGGTGATCATAGTTGTCGTCTCCCTAACTATCGAGGAACGATTTCTCTAGTAGAGTGTAATGAGAAAGGTGGTGGCCAAAAGAGAACTATTGTAACGGAAAAATATACGGTCAATGTGCCGGAAGATAGTAATGAGGAGGAGACTCGTTATTTGGTTGATACGTTGGTGGGATTCAATCTCTGGTCTTTAGCTAGCGTTGCTGAACGCATCTCGGCTTAACTTAAGTACAACTACTACTTCATTTTCTTTCTTTATTATTTTCAAAGGAGCTATTACTTCATTTTCTTTCCATTTTTTTATGGAGTTGCTTCCTTTTTTTCAAATTTTTTGAAGGATGGAGCTTCTTCCTTTTCTTCCTCATTTTTTGAAGGAATTGCTCCCTCTCTTAATTTGTGGGTGAACATAAATTGTAATGATTTGGTGATATTCATCATTGTTCTTTGATTTCATGAGGTAATAATTACTAATAACTATTCTTGCATTATTATTGATTTTTTCTATCTCCATGTTATAAAGATATTTTGAGTATGTCTCAATAAATAAATAGTTACTTGAATAAATAAAAGTTAGATTAGCATCTTAATTAATTAAACTTCAATCATTCGGACCATTTATTTTGGTTGGAGATTAAGAAATTAAAACATAACGAAAGAAAAAAAAAAATAGAAATTTAGAAAACCTAGTGTTAAAAGGCATTGCAAGTGGCAGGCTTTTCTTTATCTAAAAGAAAATCTTATTAACAGAACATACCTTTATTTAAGGGAACAAGAATGAAGAATTTATCAAGTTGCCACGAGTTAAATGCGACAATTATCTACTAGCCCGTGGGTAATATACGACGATAAATTGTTTTTTATTTTATTTTTATTTTTTTATTTTTGAAATAAAATTGTTTTTATTATTATTATTATTATTATTATTATTATTATTATTATTATTATTATTATTATTATTATATGATAAGGAAAAAGGGTTTATCAGGTCGGAACCTCTCACAGGTACAACCCGGCCTAGGTTGATGATAAATTGATGATGGTAAGGTAATATTTGTGTTAATACGAGTAAATTATACTCTGTATGAAGAATGCATTGATTTGACTCATTATAATCCCTCATGCATTGAATAACAGTACAATAAAGCACAATGATTTAAATTTCTATTGTATATGATACTGAATTACTGATAGTGAACTTCCACATTTTTTTTTATCTTCAATTTTACAGTTGAATTTGACACATTTATCAAGGCAAAATGTTTGAAATTTTGCATTAATCATAAGCACTTTTTTTACCGTCTTTTTATGATGATTCATACCATACATTAAGATAAATAGTACAGGTAACCCTCTACCTTTGCATGATTAATTAATATGCTTTTATTGATGCTTTATGGCTCTTGCATGGGGTAATTCCAATCAACAAAGCTAATACAAAGTAGAAAGAGAGAGGTCGCAGAAAAATTACGAGAGAGAGTACAGCGCAAAGGAAGAATGCGACAGCAGGGCTGGCTATCTTTTAGTTAAAATTATTACTACATTTTCCCACCAGTCCACCCACAACCCAATACTACCCATAGCCCTTGTCCACCACTCAACCCGACCACCCATAGCCACTTGACGAGCACAATACCTTTACTCAACAGCAACCACATGCCACGCTGCCACTCATTGAAACCACCAACTAACCATTGAAATCCGCCAACCAGCTTCCGAAACAATCTCCCACTCATCCATCACCTTAAATCTGAAAAGCTCTACTAGTCGTGGGACGGTAGGATCATGAAATAGAGCTAGAGTAGTAGGGTTAAAGAGAAAAAAGAGAGAAGAGAAATTGGGTTTAAAGGGAGGTCAAATGTGTATATCAATATGTATAGTAGGAATGAAGTTGGAAAAAAAAAGACAAAATAATAAGTTGATACATCAAAATTCAAGAAAACAATGGAAATTATTATTATTAATGGGCAAAAGCTAATAACGAACGTCCTTGGAGTGTTAGATAAAATGACTATCTAAAAGGAAAATTAAATATTAAATGAAATTAAACAATATATACCCGATCGAGTAATCGGTGCATGATATTAACATGCATTCCAAGCTTAATACTATTTTAAGAAACATATCTGTAGACACCTACATTTGGCGTTCTGTCGTCCCAACAGAACCTGCGATGTTGATAATAAAATCATTTCTCCAGAGGAGATCAATTTTAAAGTACTTATGCACTTCTTAATGTGTTATAACCCAAAATCAAGCAATCATTTCGCCCATACTTTGCTATACCCAATCAGATCAAACCAAGTTGACTGACTAATATAGCCCAATACGAACCTAAACAATGTATTAGGTCTAGATTAATGATGGAATTTAGGCACGCAGATTAAATGTTAACACATTGCTGAAGATTTTGTGTACAACTCTAAAAGTTGCACGCAGAAGTCGCGCGAAACTCTTGAAGTAGAAGTTGTGCGCGCGAACCGATGCAGCACATTAAAGAATGGTGCGCTCCTCCAAATATTCTTAATTTTTCAAAGATTTAGAATAAAATCGTCCCATAATACGTCACACAACTTTTGATATTACATACCTCTATCGTCATATTCGTGCAGCTTTTAGAGTTACGTGCGCTCCTTGCTGCTGCGGCGGTTAGTTAACTCTAACCCTAATCATTAGGCTATAAATAGGGGTCGATTAACCCCCTAATGAGTACAGTGAATCAGAATTATTGCAAGGAAAAATATCCTAATTACTTCGAATTGTTATAATTACTTTTGCCCTCTTTTCCTAAACACTCTAGCCCCGATCAATCATTCGAGGTCATTAGGGTCCTGGAATAAAAGGAATCAATAAACAATTTATGCGGAAGTCTAGCTAGGAGAAGTGATTAGTTTCCTAAGCAATTAGATCAATGACCATTTATATGTTTAAATAATTATAATTGATTAATTAGTGTTGATTTTCCACTTTAAATAATGATATATAATTAATTTATATATCAACCTAGTATTGTTTTGTTAATTATTGACTAGAATTTGAATTAATTATTGTTTTATCACCAAAGAGGTCTAGCGAATCTTGTTATTTATTTTATTGTTCTTTTTTCACAAATCTTGAATAATAAAAGAATGACGATATTTGTTCAAATGTACTGTAGACTATCTGTATGATAACGTAAATAAAATTAACTAACTTAGTCTTTAAGTATCATGGTGAATACATTTGCTTGATTTGTAATGAAATTGTGAATAAGAAGAGCTAGTAGAGGTTTTTATAAAGGCTAGAATAATTGCTTCGAAAGAATGATCGACTTTCTAGTACCCTCGCTCCTAAATTCATCTCGATCTGGTTTAGTAGACCTTTGTTTAGGCAATCTACCTAAAGAATTAGAGGAATGAAAAACTCGTTCTTTATTTGTGCTATATATCCCTTGTACACTAATCCCTACATTTTAAAAAATATGAGAAAACACTTATTAATAGCGTGAGGACAATTGTATCCGTAAAAATGTTTGTTTACCTCTATGTCCGAATAGGGGCATAGAAATAAATATACGTTATTAAGGATATAACACTACTTATAAATAGTGTGCGGATATTTATACCCCTAAAACTATTTGTTTACATATATTTCCCTCATTGTGTTGCCAACAACTGAAAGAGCTTCTAGAAAAACATAGCTACTGCTCACACATCACGCGCGTTAGCCACCCTACTTGGAAGAAAGGTATGAGCTGAACAAGGTTTATGAGCTTATTCTTTAAAACTCATTACGACTCTCTACATAGTATATTTTTTCTTAAAAAAAAGGGGGCGAGGGATTGCTTGTATTCTCTCCTATCCATATCTCACAAACAATCAGGAACCATTGCAAGTAGTTTTATACTTTTATGCATACTAAAAAGTGCAATGTAGATGTAGAAGTCCCGGGCTTATAAAGGGCTCGGGCAGCGAGGAAACAGAATCTCCCACGATTGGACAACCTCCTCACGATATCTCTATTATATAATTGAAGGGGAAAGGGGGAGTGAAAAGTTATTGTTCACAATTAAAAATGCTTAGTTATATATAGGATTTTAAAAAATGCTTAAAATTGTACATGCGAAAAAAGTACCGTAGTAATCAATGATGAACTTTGACATAATTCAGCAAATTAAGCTTTTGATAATTAATTAACTTTGGGGAAAATTAGGCAATTTAAAGTACTATAATATTGATAAACCTTAACTCGATACTAGAACATTTAATAAAAATAAGAAAAAGGTAATTATTATTGATCTCTTGCAATAAAAATTAATAGTGTTAATATCCCTCTAAGGCTCTGTTCATTTCATTCGCCTTAAAAATTGATTTGGGTTCAGTAAATAAATAAATAAATAAATAAATTTCAATAAAAATCAATAAATTTAAAAAAGAAATATAATAGAAAATCAATATAAATAATTTAAGTTCAACAAAATAATTTCAGTTTAATAAAATTAATATCACTTCGGCCTAAATAATTAAAGTTCATCAAAAATAATTTTAGTTCAGTAAAAATAAGGTGAAACGAACAGAGCCTAAATTATCTTTTTTTTCATCTAAAATTTAATTGTTAACATTGTTTTCTCTTAATGTATATGACTGACAAAATTAAATAAATAAAATACTTAATTAATTTTTAAATTACCGCATATATCTTGTGTATATAAGGTTAGTAAAATCATACGCCCGGAATGCTCATAAGTAGGGTTGTACATAGTTTGGTCTGGACCGTAATCAAACCAGACCAAACTGCATTTTAGTGGTTTGGTTTGGTTTACGGTTTGTAAAAATACGGTTTGATTTCGATTTTTTTGTAAATACGGTTTACGGTTTAGTTTGGTTTTTCAAAAATTATAAACCAAACCAAACCATAAACTAGTAAACCGTATTTTAATATTTATATAATTTTTTAAATAAATTAAAATAAATAATAATAAATCAATAAAAATACTCCATATCAAAAATCAAAATACAATAGGGTATACGAATATACGACTATACGGTCAGTAAGTAAATAAAAATATGTTACTGTTATTGTATTATGTGTTAGCACTTGGATTGTTATTTTTATTGTAAATTTATAGTAATCCGTTTGGGCTAATTATTTAAATATTATTATACGTTAATGATGTATTATTTGGCAATTTTTAGGGAAAAATGGCGTCTCATCATAAATTGCAAACCAAACCGCACAAACCCGTAT